TCCCTTCCCTTTTCCTTCTCTCCCCTTCCTTTACCTTCCCTCCCCTTCCCTTCCTTTCCCTCTTTTGTTTTTTGAGACATAAATAGTCCAGGCTAGACAATCCTCCTATCTCTGCTGCCCAGTGTGGGGTTGCATTGCACTCTGGGTTTTCTTTGCTTTGCTTTCTTTAGAAAAGAAGACACACAGCCCTGGCTAGGCCCAGGCCTGTTCTGTATTTGAGAACGGCCTCGAATTTCTGATCCTCTTGCCTCTACCTGGGATTACAGGTGTGTACAACCATGCCTAGGTTATGCAGCAACCCAGGACTTCACGCATGCTGGGTAAACTCTCCACCCCTGACCTATATCCCCAGCCCAAGGCCAGTTCCTAATCTTAGAAGAATGCTAAAGAAAATCTTATTATCCCTTATCCATTAAAGGTCAATTCACAGAAGAAAACACTAAATTTAGATGAAATACCTCATGGTTTGCTTGACTCAGGCTATAAGGCCAGCCAAATACTGGATACGTGGACCAGAAGGAACCTCAGCAACCCAGTTGGAAGCTGACAAATTTCATTCTGGATCAAGAAACAATTAACAGGATTTCTTCATCTGGCACAAGGGAAATTAGACCCAGAGAGAGAAGGAGCTTGCTTCAGGTTGCACAGCAAATGAATGAACCAAGACTGTGGCCAAAACCCTGATTATTCTCAATCATTAGTAACAATAAAAATATAAACACCAATATTATTTTGTTAGTACTACACTGTGACAACACTTTGCAAACTTACATTAGTTGAACTTCTGTTTGTTCAGGGACAGTTTTATTGTATAGCCTGGGCTGGTCTGAGCTTCTTTGTGTAGTTTATGGTGCCTTGAGGTCTCAGAACCTCCTGCCACAGCCTCTGAGTGCTGGGATTGTAGACATGTTCCACTATGTCTGGCTAGTTCACATTTTTGTTTAAAAACAAGAACCAGGCATGGTGGAGCATGCCCGTAATCCCAATACTCAAGAAACTAAGGTTGGAGGATGATAGAATGTTGCAGGCCATCAAATCTGAGCTAACCTGGGCTTCACAGTGGGACCCTGTCTTAAAAGCAAAATCCTGGGGGTATAGCTCAGTGCTAAAGTGCTTACCTTGTATGGGTAAGGCCTGGGTTCCAATATTAAAAAAAAAAACCAAAGACTATACAGTCAAATGATTAGTTATAGGCTTTTATTATCCCTATTTACTAGATGGCAGATTTAAGGTTCAAAGGTACTTAGTAACACAACTGGAAAGTTACAGCCTGAGTCTGAATGGAGGTCTCCACAGCCCTGACACCTAGGACTCATTCGTCAATGAATGCTGGTCAGCAGTCTCTGAATGGGTGCTTCAGTTGGAAGAAGGGCAAAGCAAAAGTGGGATGTGGAGGTCTCCTTGGGTTCTTGAGGCAATAACCTATTGTGTTTTCTCTGCTGTTTGGGGGCATGACAGAAAACCAGAGAGGTGTACGGGAAAGAGCCGTGGGAATGCGAGGAGGAGGAACTGGCAGAGATCCTGGTAAGCAGCTTGACCCTGGTGCAATAGGACTCCGAGTATCCCTTCACCCTGCTTGGCTTCTCTCAGCAGACCCGGGGAGGGGCCCGGGAGCACACTATGCTCCTTAACCGCTGGACTCCACTCCAATCCAGCAAGGAGAACTTCCAGATGCCGAGAAATATGAAATCAATAAGTTTCACTTCAGCGACCTGCCGCTCACGGAGCTTGAGCTGGTGAAGTGCGGCATACAGATGTATTACGAGCTCAGAGTGGTGGAGAAGTTCCACATCCCGCAAGAGGTGAGGCCCACAGCCACTCGCCCTTCTGCACTCTGCAGCCCCTTCTAGCTCAGAGCGTAATCTGTAGTCCAGCCTGGCCTTGAACTTGTGACTATTGGTCCTGCCTCAGCCTCCTGGGTGCTGGGACTCCAGGTGGGAGCTACTACACCCAGATCGCTGACCCTCCCTCCCTCCCCGCTTCCTGGCTTTAAAAGAACAGTTTGGTCTATAGAACATGTAGAAGGAATATGTGCATTTGGTATTCAGAATATGTGCCTAGGGCCCGGCTGGATTCTGTTAGAGAAGGCACTATTCATTGAGACCAAGGTTCTGAAACTCTCATGTGGGATCTTAGTTAAGCTCATGGGAATAGGCCTTTTCCACTGCAGAATTCCTGACAAAGGTGCACTGTGGGAGATGTGTGTGAAAAAAAGGGTGCACAAAACCGCTCAGACTTTGACTAAAGTAGGGCCTTTCAAAGCCTGCCCCAGACCACGTCAGTACTGCCCAAGATGCTGTCGGGCTGGCCACAGGCGTTACACACCCACCCACCCCACAGACCCAGACACAGCAGCATGCCACCAGCTCTAACAAACCTGACACTAAGGGGACCAGCTTGAGAACTACAGGGTTAAACATCCTTCCTCCTAGGACAGTTTAGGAATCCTTGGTGAAGCTCAACCTGGAAAGGATGTGGGCGGTTCATGGTTATCTTGTCTCTAACACCTATGGTCATAGTGTCGAGCAGGAGGTTGCGTGCCTAATGCTTCTGCATCTGGGGACACTTCCCACTGTCTGGGTCAACGATGGGGTTGGAGAACCTTGGGTCTTCCTGAGGGCGGTCCTGGACACCTGGGCAGGTGTATGCTGCCTCACTGACGTGTGTGTTCACAGGCCCTGGTGCGCTTCATGTACTCACTGAGCAAGGGCTACCGGAGAATCACCTACCACAACTGGAGGCACGGCTTCAACGTGGGGCAGACCATGTTCTCCTTGCTGGTGGTACGGAGGGCCGTGGGGGTGTGGTGGACACAGCATGGCCGTTTTTATTTATTGACTTTAAAGAATTGCACAATTCTGTCTGGGAGTGTAGCTAGTGACAGAGTAGTTGCCTAGGAGGTTAAGTTCCTAGCACTGGGGAAAAAAAAAGAATTGCAGAAGTAATACAAGCGTAAAAGGAGATTCATGAATAAGCTGGTGGGGCAATCCTGTAATCACAGCACTCAGGAGGCCAGAGCGGGTTAGTCTGCACCACCTAGCAAGACTCTCTCAAAACACAAAACCAACAACAAAATTCCAAGAACAGAGAAGTATACAAATCTTACCAAATTTCTTTTTGCACAACAGACACACATAAACACATAGCATACATGTCATTTATTTTTATGACCAATGGAATAATCTATAATATTTTATTTGAAAATTTGAAAATATATCATATAATGGTATGTTCTTCCATTGTATATGCCAATCAGATTTTTAAATTTTTTATTTTTATTTTCTGTGGATGAGTGTTTTGTCCATGCAGTACATCGTATGTGGGCAGTGCTCAGAGGGACTAGAAGAGGGTATCAGATCCCCTGGAGCTGGATTTTCAGGCTGTTGGGGGTGCTGGCTACTGGACCCAGGTCTTATGGAAGAGTAGCCCGTGTTTTCAACTGCTGAGCAATCTCTGCAGCCCCAAGATTCTTTCAATATATAAACACATACCCATATAAAACACATCTCTTACTAGATGAGGCACTGAAGTCATTTTTAGGGGTATAATCCAGTGACACTAAATACATTCACAATGCTGTGCTGTGTTTGCCAGGATCAACTCTAGGGCACTCATTCATCTTCTCAAACAGTAGCTCTGTACCCCTTAAACAAGAATGCCAGTTTCTTCTAGCTCCTAGGCCACCCCGTCACCTTCTTTCTATAGAAACTTGACCACTCTAGACATTGCTGCCAGTGGGACCACAAAGCATTGGCCTGACTTTGTATCTGACTTTTTTCACTTAACACAGTGTCTACAAGGTTCATCCCATTACATTTTTCTTGCTGCACAGAACAGTTGTCCTTTGCAACCTGTGTGTGTGTGGAGGGGTTGTTCTAGGACACCTCCTCATACCAAAACTTTGTGTGTGGTCAAGTCCCTAATATAAAACAGCAGTGTATTTGTATGTAACCTACGCCTCCTGTATATTCTTGTTTGAGATAGGGTCTTGGAGTGTAGGTCAGTTCCACCTTGAAGTCAATTAAAAAAAAATATCTTTTGGGTCCACAACTGGTTAGACCCACAGATATGGAGCCCATGCACAAGAGGGCTGTCCTATAATTTCTTTACTCAACTCCCTATTGTTGAAGATGAAGGTTGTTTTCTAATCTTTTTACTATGACAAGCATTGCTACAATGTCTTTGGGTGGCCTTGGTATGTTTGTGTCAGTATTTTTGACACATACATTTCAGAGTCCATCATATCTCATCGAGTGTTGCTCCATACGGGTCATGCTGCAACACCTGCTTGCCTCATGCTCCCTGTCTGCATTCCTTACCCTCATGACTAGCAATACCTAAGCCCTAGGGCTTGGAAACCCTTTTAGCTAGGCCACAGAAAGTGATGACGGCAATCTTAAATTAGGTTTTTCTTCCTTTCCCTTCCCTTCGGTCTCCCCCTACCCCTACCTGTGTGTTTGGTGTGTGTGTGTGTGTGTGTGTGTGTGTGTGTGTGTGTGTATTGATAGTTGATACAGGGTCTCATGTAGCCCAGGCCTGCTTTAAGTTCTCTATGTAGTTTGAAGATGACCTACAACTATAGATTCTCCCGCCTCCATTGTCTCAGGCATGCGGGCATCACCACGCCCGTCAATTTGACTTATCAGCTCTACAGAGTTCTCCCCACCTTTACTTCAACCTCAGCATAAACAAGAGTGAAATAGTTGAAGGAATACCAGAGAAAACTCCTTGACTGGTAGACCAGGTTTAGAAAGTCAACGTCACGAGTATGGCCACGTTCAAAGACCTCCCAGTGACAAAATGGCTGCCAGGTTTTCAATGATCATTATGTCCAACCCCTCCCCTTCCAGGGCACAGATGCAGAGGTCCAATTCGGATGACATAGGAGTAGGGTGCTCAGCCTCCCTGTTTACCTGGGTTACCTGGGAACTGTCTCAGTTTTGATATTGGAGCTCTACAGCATGAGTAGAGCGAATCATTGGTCACCCCATGGAGTGGAAACAGAATGAGATCAGAGGTGGCGGGGGACGTAGCTCGCTTGGTAGAGTGCTTGCCTAACAAGCACAGATCCCTGGGTTTGATCCCCAGCACTGCATCATCTTGGCATGTGGCACATTCTTGTAATTTTGGCACTCAGGAGTGGAAGCAAAAGGATCAGAAATTCAAGGTTGGTGGTGATGTGTGCCTTTAAACCCAGCACCTGGGAGGCAGAAGCAGGCAGATCTCTGTGAGTTTGAGGAGAATCTGGTCTACAAGAGTTAGTTCCAGAACAGGCTCTACGGAAAAACTCTGTCTTTAAGAAAAAGAGAAAAGAAAAGAAGAAAAGAAAAGAAAAAAGGAAAAAAAGAAATTCAAGGTCATCTTCAGCTACATACAGAGTTCTAGGACAGGGCCTACAAGATGGCTTGGTGGGTAAGGGTGCTTGCTGCTAAGCCTGATGAACTGAGTTTTATCCCCATGAACTATATGGCAGAAGGAGACAACCGGATTCCAAAAGTTGTCCTTTGACCTCCACATGTGTGTTCTGACACATATACACACACACGT